ACCTATGTGAGACAGGCCTTTATCTGTCTGACTGAGTATAATTTACCAAAAATGCAAAGCAGTTTGTCAGCATCCTTCACTGTGGGTAAAAAACTGATTAGAAGAGTTTCCGTGAGAGAACTGCTCAAGTAAGTTATCATTTCCCAAGGAGAAATCACCTGTAACTGTCCTATCTGATGCAAAAGATGTGGGTTTATACTTTCCTCTGGCATTCATGCGGCTGCAGACCTATAAAGCACTGTGAGAACATCAAAAGATACATGGGACAAATAACTAGTACATTTACAGAAACCATTTAGAATTCATTGGCAGTATTTCATTCTATGGCCAAACTAAAACTTTTTTATTGCGATCTATAAATATTCCAAACATAATTGATCAAAAATAACCATTTTTATCAAAGCTTCGTACGTAGTCGGTTTTGTGCTGTGCACTCGGCCGGCATTATTGCACTTTATCTTTAAAGCACTTTTCACAGAGTAGGTACTATTTTACCTCCTTATCGAGGAGGAAGAAGGTTTACAGAGGTTAAGAGGCTTCACTGAAAAGGTCATGCAGCCAGGAAACGGTAGACACAGACCTTCCCAGGTAAGTTTGATTTCAAATCTAAAACTCTTCATCACCACCACAGTGGTTCTCAGAGTTTAGTGTAATAAGAAACCTCTGGAGCCCTGTTTTGATGGTCCCCACAGCTTCTGATTTGGATGGTCTGGGGGCCTAGGAACCTGCACTGCTGTCAAGCATTCCTGTTGATTCTTGTGAAAGTGACTCCAAGGCCACACCTTGAGAAACACCACTTACCTTCAGCTGCCTGTCATTTAAAATCATAATGGACTAGCCCTGGCCGGTTTGGCTCAGCGGTTAGAGCTTCGGCCTGCGGTCCAGAGAGACCCTGGTTCGGTTCCCGCTAAGGGTAAGTACCTTGGTTGCAGTTTGTCCCTGGCCCTGGTTGGGTTGTGTGGGTGGCAGCCACTCGATGTGTCCCTTTCACGTCGATGTTTCTCTCTCTTTCTCTTTCTCTCTCACTCTCTCTCCCTCCCACTATATCTGAACAAAAAATGGAAAAATGTCCTCGGGTAAGGATAAAAAATGAAATCAAATAAAATCATAATGGACTAGATATTTAGATGACAAGAAATAGTATCACTTAGAATTAAAAATGCAAAGTAGACAATGTAATAGGTTAGTGCAAGAAAATGTGATGAAGACAAAATAATTCAATTAAGTTAATGATTCGATATCTTAATTCAAGAAGATGTATTCTCATTGTTCAGAAAAGAAGTGTTCTTGGCAATATTTTTGTACAAATGTCAATGTCCCATACCCTCGTAGGCCAGAGGGATTGCAGTGGAAGATGACAGAGGGGACAGTGGGACTTACTGACTGAAGAAAATGAAACGCTACTCATTTGTAGCTTAGATAAATGTTCCCACACACAAGTCTACTTATCAAAGGCCCAATACAGCAGAAACACCAAGAAAACGAAGCATTTTAGGAAGAAAATAAATACACAAATGGGAAGCCTATAAAATTTTCAACTAATACATCAACGAAGGCACCGGATGACATGCTGGGATACAAAATAGTAGTTGCTGTTTGGGGACTAGCTGAGCAGCCAATCCAGATAATTTAAGTATAAGGTCCAATGATCAATCAAATAGGCTAGGGCTGCTTGGCCCTGTGTTGTGGGTGTGCAAGGCTCTACTTGCACTACCCAAGTGGAAAGAATTAATTTATTCTCTGCTATGTGTGATCCCACCCAGCAGGGTACTCCACACTGTCAACCTTTTTACTCATTCCTAGGTGACTTCCTATCCCACTTATCATAACAGCTATTTTGAATCTTTCCCCATGCCTATCAAGTTTCCAGATCCACCCTAAAGACCTTTACTTTCCATATATATGAACATGTGTTTTTTTTTTTTTTTTTTTTATCCTGGTCAACCATGAATTCTCTACATTTTATTTCCTTTCACACTGAGTTTCTTAATTACACCAAGCATCTTTTCTGAATTTCTTTCTAAGGCTCACTCCCCCACCTGAGTCGATCGCATCGTATGCCGTTTTCTTTAGAACCCCATTTCATTCTCCTCAGATGTCTATGAGTCGCCCCTGGTGTTCCAGACATTGTTGTAGGCACTGAGAACACAGAGATGAAGAGACAGGAGCCTGCCTGATGCAGCACGCAGGAGAGGGTGGGCACAGAGGTAATGGTGGTGAGGGCAAGGCGGTGGGACCTGGGGCACAGGGGACTTGGGTTTCTGTACCTGGAGGCAAAAGGAGCTTCACCTAGGAAACAGCTGAGATTTTCAAAACAAATAAAAGTTAGTCAAGCAGATAAGTTAGAGAAGTGAAAGGAAGAAGTGCAACAATACTGAGGCTCAGGAGAGTGTGGTGTGGCCAAGCAACGTGAGTAGTCTGCCATCCGTGGAAAAAGGCCCCGGGGAGTTGGTGAGAAAGAATGCTAAGGAGCTTTTAGAGTTTTAGGTCATAGTGAACCACCGAAGCACTGGTGTTATCAGAGGTATACGAGAGAGCTCGCTCTGGAAACATCCTGGCAGAGAAATAAGAATAATGCAAAATAAGAGGCCAATAGCCCAGAAATCAGGGAAGCCCGTGATCTAGGTAGAATACACACACACATATTTAAATGTTTTTATTGATTTTAGAGAGAGAGGAAGAGCGAGGGGGAGAGAGAGAAACATCAATGAGAGAGAAACATCGACCAGCTGCCTCCTGCACACCCCCTCCTGTGGAGCAAGCCCACACACTGGGCATGTGCCCTGACTGGGAATCTCACTGGCGACCTCCTGGTGCATGGAAGATGCTCAACCACGGAGCCACACCGGCCGGGCCTAAGCAGAATATGGAGTGCTTGGTTTGAAGCAATAATGGGAGAGACAGAGAATTATGATGGACAAAAAAATACATTTAGGTGGTAACATTCTAGAATTTAGTGATTCGTTGAATGTCAGCGATAAGAAAGAGAGAACACTGATGGAACTCCAGGTTGTTTGGGAACTAATTGTGGTGTCATCACCGGTGGACAGTGACTAGGCACCCAAGAGGACATGTCCAACTGGATGTGTGAGTGTGGAAGTCAGAGACGCTGATTTGGGCACCGGCAGTGTAGGCCAGGTGAGGTCACGGTTGAAGGTACGATTATCCAAGGAAAACATGGGAATGCGGGAAAGGGGTGAGAAAATCATTTTGGGAGTCAAGAGTCAAAATCAAAGATCCTCCAAAGACAATTGAGAAGGAGGGGCTAGAAAAGAAGGGTGGAGGATGGCATCATGGAAATTACAGCAAAAGACATTCAAAGAGGAAGGAAAAGCTGCCAAATGCTTCCGAGGAGAGTTCAAATAGGGATGAACAGTCCCTTCTGGATTTAAGTAGAAAATCTCTCTCTCCCATTCATTCTTTTCCCTGCCTTCGCATGATGAAATAAATAACGTGATAAATCTACCTGTTCCCAGTATTTTCTTCCCCCAAGCACTTACCCTGTCATTCAGCTACCACTGCACTGAAATTTCTATCTTAAAATTTGCCAGTGATATCTTTTTTTTACCCACAAGTCACATTTTAAATGCCAACTCCCATGACCTTTCCTCAGGCATCATGCTATATGGTCTCTCTACAGAATTTTACAATATGAAGTACCTCTTTTTATACTTACTGGCTATTTCACAGTGCACTCAGTTCTTAGATCTCCTACAGGGACTCCCTATTTTTGTTACGCTCTTTAAATCAATATGTTCCCCCCAAGAGTTCATCGTTAGTACTTTTCTCTGTGAAATGCACATTTCGCCGCCTCCACCCCAAGCCTTCTACATGTCAGCAATGTGCAGAACGACTTCCACAGCAACCCTGCACTGGATTTTCTACTGGAGAGCTACGTGCAGACGTCCTGCCAAACTAACCACGCCCCCATTCAACCTGCTTGTCTTATAGGCTCACCTCCCAATCCAGTGTCCCATGTTCCTGCCCCGTCACTGATGCCTCCTCCCCCTTTCATTTCCCCCACACAGTCATCCTTCCACCCGAGCTGTGCATTTTATCCCTCTGGTCCTCATTTCCACAGCTTCCCTCTGATATGCTAAACAATTTCAATATAGGTGATCTAGACATGACAAAATTACGATGGTTTATTTCCCATAGTAAAATAGTAACAGCAGTCAACGTTTATCTAGCATGCACTATAGGCTGGGCACTATTCTAAGCACACTGCACATGTTTTCTTTTTACTGTTTCCCCTTCTGTGAATTGAGAAGAGCAAGATGGTTTATACCCTTTTAAATGTGTCATATATATTTAGGAATTTCTTTGTTTTATACATCACTCTGAATTATGTAATCATTTTTCTGGTGGATAAAAACTAGGCATCATGTAGTGAAGGTTAGCTCATTTTGCCACCAGAACTCTGGTAAGCCCAGCCGGTGTGGGTCAGTGGCTGAGCATCAACCCATGAACCAAGAGGCCGCCAGTTTGATTCCTGGGCACATGCCCAGGTTGTGGGCCCAATCCCCAGTGGAGGGGCATGCAGGAGGTGGCCAGTTGATGTTCTCTCTCATCCATGTTTCTCTCTCTCTCTCCCTTTCCCTTCCTCTCTCTCTAAAATCAATAAAGAAAAAAAAAAAAAAAAAAAAAAAAACTCTAGTAAGTGGCATGGACAAATGTCTAAACCACAACTAAATTCTAATGATGACGACCTAAGCCACAGTTCAACCCTGAAATATCTTCTCAGTTACCGATAAAAGATTAAAACACGCTTCATAAAGCCTTGGTGTTCACGTTTTCTCACTCTTTCAGAAGGTGTAATCTTTAAATGTATGCTTATGTGAATGATATACAGAGCCCTTATCTCCTCCCAGTACAATGTTGTCCTCTCCCAGTTCTTTAAATGCTGCTAACACCCAAATTAGTTCTTAGTCTCTCTTTGAAACCCACAAGCATATCCATCATTCCATCTTAATGAATACCAAAGAGTAAACTACACTTACTTCATAAATCCAATTTTTGCAGAAACTTGTAAATCAGCAGAACAATTTTCATGGGCACAGAATCTTGCAAAGTTTATCTGGAAATAAAATATGACAGTATTTTATCTTTAGTTCAATAAGTATGTTTATTTCTGTTTTTTAAAGATTAAGCCATCTCTGATACATGAGAAGAATAAAAGTAAATATCAGATTGATAACTCCTTGTTGTATCACTTTTTAAAGAGTTCAATGTGAGAATTAGTCAGTAGAATTTGTCATTTAAAAGGCAAATAATTACTGGGCTAAAAGAAGTAAGTTTTTTCAATAAGCAGATTTAAACCTAAATTTGTTAGGTGGGAAAAATGATTTTTTCTTTCATAGTAGGGAAGAAAAAATGTTAACCAAATTGTGGTAGTGACCTCCATAGGTATTTAAAACCCATGCTGCCCAGAGTGTCTTTGTCAAGTTCCTCTCGGTCTTCTGATGCTTTGACTCCACTTATCACATGTGAGCATGGCATTTAAGTTTGCAGCCAGTAGGGCAGCAATTTTATGTTTGTTAAAAATAACAAATTGCAGTAATTTAGAAATTTCACTTTAAGAACACATTGAACAAAATTAAATGATAGCCTATTACAGAGGTTCCAGAATCCAGAATAAATTTACCTCTGAGCATTTTAATGGGACCCAGAGATAGTACAAGGTACATGGGAAGACCTGAGTCAGGAGCTGCAAAGTATAAAATGGAAAGGGGGGGGGGGAGAGAAGGAAAATGGGAGGCAAGGGTGGAAAATGGTGAGATGCAGAAAAGAAAAGTCTAACAAGTCAGAGAAGGAGCCAGGTACACGAAATGGCAAATGACTGGTGTTGTCAAATTGCACGTCAGCTCACAGACCACCCATCACTAGGGAGCGCAAGGCAAGTGTAAGTCTTTCTCTGAATGATTAGGTAAATATGACTTTTTCTACTGCTCTTATGTGTAAAACAGGTTGTTCTAAGAGTCGAAAATGTGAATTATTCTAATATAACTACAAATTGGTTAGGTTTGGGCTTGCATACTTACAATAAAAGACATTAAACGATAGTTGATAATGAAAGTGAAGAATGAAAAGTATGGACTTCCATAAATATTTTTATGTATGGGTATAAAGAAAATTTGCTCGGAAGTTATCTTTATTCAATCTAATATTGTAGACTAAGCTCACATATCTTCAAGTGACTTAGGGGCATTTTTCTGGGACAGAATGTGAACTACACCTTTAAGTGTCCTTTTACCTTTCATATCCTGTGTGCATGAGCTAATATTTTAATGAATGCTTTTACCATACCCCAAAACGTCCCGTTGACTATGTCTGTGTGTTGTTGGATAGAAACATTCTGAACAACTGGACTGCAGCAATAAACACACAGTCAGTGAAACTGATAGGTTAGGGGATAAACTGGAAAAAGCAGTTCATGGTGAGACCGCAGGATCCATCCCAAAATGAGGTTGGTCCTGAGACGAAAGCATACAGTTAAATTTTAAAAGAGAAACTGTTGTGTAACATAAATACCTACGTCTATAAATGAGTAAAACCCAGGAAGGGAATTTGACTAACAAGATATGAGTGGATTGTGGGTGGGGTGAGTGTGAGGGAGACAACAATGAGAGAGGAGACAGACAACGAGGAAGGGAAAGATGCGTTGAACACACAGGACAACACAGGATAACTAACTCATGAAGGTAACTCACTTCCACTAGGAGAGCTTGCTAGTAACATATTTTCTTCACTGGCAAGGCATCGAGAGAGAAAGTTAACATTTTATGTGTATGGAAAACCACTGCTATGACTAAATGCATGTTTTAAAGTATTTCAGTTCAATATCCTGAAGGAAATATAAAAAAAATGAAAAACAACGCATACCAGCAATCTCTTCTTACATAAAAAATGTATAAAATTAAAAAATATTCAGAATTAATTTTCCTAGATTTATGCAATATTTTTTAAAAACAACTTTTTAGTTATATGTCACAATTTTGAATAAAAGAAAATATTCCTACTGTTTTTTCAATTATGTCTTTTTCTTTCTTCTGCTGAAGAATTGGCTGGAGTGGTGGGAATTCCTCCGTACTCCGTTTACTGATGATGTGATGCCCGAGATGGTAAGCGGCTACGATCTGAATTGGGGTGAGGATGTCTCGCACATCTTTCTAAGGAAATTTAAAACCATGTGAGTTAAAAATAAAAAGAAATATGTACATTTTAAAAATAGAGGGCTCCTCCTTGCCTGCATAAGGCCAAACACAACACACGGAAGTCAAAAGCATTCTTACCTTTTAATATAGATTTAAAAAAAAACTAATGTGTATATTTTTTTCGCACTACAAAAACATTCATGATGTTTTAGGAAAAAACACAAAAATAGCATAAAAAATAAAGGTCTACATTTGGGCATATTTTCTTCCATAGTATTTTCTATGCATACTTTTTATAATTTGATGTTGTAACATAAACATTTTCCATTATAAACTCATTGTAAATCAATTAAAAGGACTAATGAACATTTTATTCTACTTAACACTGCCCTCTAGTAGGCTTGTAGAAATATAATCTTTCAATTTATTCAAGTTTGTTTTTTTAGATCTTTCAGTACATTTTAATACAATTTGATTTCTTACTTATTTATTTATTTTAATCCTCACCCGAGGATATGTTTTTATTGATTTTAGAGAGAGAGGAAAGAAGATGGAGTGAGAGAGAGGGAAGGAGAGAGAGAGAGAGAAACATAGGCGCCCCGACCAGGGATCGAACCCACAACCTAGGTATGTGCCCTTGACTGGGAATAGAACCTGAAACCTTTTGGTGTAGGGGACGATGCTCCAACCAACTGAGTCTCCCAGTCAAGGCTTCATATTTATTATGAAACATATCCTTTATGGATTTTTTCCAATTCCACTTTCTAACAGGTTATGAATGGTATATAGCAGTTACTTGTTTTGTGTATTTAATATTTTATCCTATTTACTTGACTGAATCTTCTTGCTAGTTGTTTTATAACTTTTTTTTCTAGGTTTTTTTTTTACACTTCACAATAAGAGTTCTTGGAGTTATTTATCAATTACACAAAAATTCTCATTTAAATTTAATATTTAACTAATTTTTAGTTGTCATTAACAGACTTCCTAGTGAGTGATTATCAGTGGGCCAGGTTTCTCTTTATCTATAGACACCTCAGGATTGGAATATGGCTTAAGCATTACTGTCTTAAAGCAAAAAAAAAAACAAAAACAAAAAACAAAAGCACAGATTATTTCCAAAACTCATAAATTAATAATCTCTAATGGATGATAAAATACCTACCATACAGATTATTGCTGTGCTAATTACATCTATAGTAACTTAATACCATCAATGAAGTAAAATGAAGATGATGCATACATCACATAAAAGACTACATCTATTCTATGTCTTTAGGTAATTGTTTTTTAAAATGCATAATTTTTCTTCTCTCTTACCAGTTACAACATTATCAATATATGTATACAGGGGTGAAAAGCAAGCGGTCTGGAGACAGACTACCGGGGTTCAAAGCTCAGGTTTGTCCCTTACTAGCTATGTAACCTTAGGCAAGTCACTTTGTGGCTCAGCTACCTCATCTGAAAATGGGGGTAATGACAATGATGGTAGTGATGATACCTACACCTTACTGTTGTGAGGATGCAACAGTACAATGTACATAAGACAGTACAATGCCTGGCACTTATTAAGGTCTCCACAGATATTAGACACTATAATAATTATTATAATTACTCAAAATGTAGCTATATAAGTCAACAAAGAATTACTGAAGTTTGGTTTCATATCATAAGGAATTCTGGTAAACTTTGGAAGGAATAAGAAAATTAGACTGCTGCCACCCAATGAACATAAAAAGAAAATGAGTTACATACAAATATTTGACTTGCATTAATTAAGGGTTATCTAGAAGATTTGGAGCATGAATCACAGTACTCAAGATTTCTCATTACTTTTCCAATCTTATACGTGAAGATGACTTTATTGAATTACTTGATAAGTGATCATCTCAATATGAAAACTTGACCATATAGGAATGCTGTAAACCAAGGCTCAAATCCCAAGTTATTAACTTGTGAAAACGGAACAGCTTGAAGCCCTGAGTATTACAATAGCAAAGATGATTAAATTATCCCCTAGGTATAGGAGCTAGACAGCCACTGATTGTCCCTCCACATGTCCACTGTTTTAATTCTTCTCAACAAGCTTGCTTTGACCAAATCACATGTTATCTAATTCATACTAATTTTCCACAAGGTCTTCTCTACATCTGGTGTATATTACTTTCATTATCCTAATTAGCTATTAATTATGCTTTTCTCACAATATATAAAACGTATGTGCACTTTCATAAGAACCGTACTTGACAGATACACTTATTTAACTTGAACAGCCCCACCTAAGAACAAATGCTGTTAATATAAAAAATGTCTTAAAGGGACTAATTAAGTATTTGGGAGGGGAAAAGTAGATTTGCTTAAAATTTTTAATTTGGATGGGCATGTGCTATCTATATTAAAAATAATGAAGATTCCATGCCACATTTTTATGGACAATTACATAAAATAGGGCACCCACAAGCATGCAAATTAGCACATGCCTGAAATTATAAAGTCTGCCTTCTTGTTTGACTTTTATAAAAATTTGTATTTATGGCCGACTTTGAGCTATAGGCTCATGAACACTTATTGTGCTTATGTAGTGAAGAAATTTATTTAAAGTGTGAGGCCAAAAATATTTATAAAATATCACTGAATGAAAAATGATGTTGAGGTATAAACCTTTGAGGCTATCTATTCATGGATCTACTGCATACAAGGCAGGCTGTGGGGACATAAACCTGAAAGTTGGTACCTCTTTCACAGTCTGTGCCCATAAACCCACACAGAGTGTGGGAATGAGTGTATAGAAACACACACAAGTCCAGAAGGAGCTCGGCCACCTAGTCTACACCTGAAAGTGGATTAAAGGTTCTTACACAAAATGATTTTGAGCAAGGAATATGGTCAGATTTAATAAAGCCCAACTTTTTTGAGATCTGGGGTTTTTAAATTTTTTTTATTATTTATTTTTTTTCCAAATCTTTATTGTTGGATGTAAAATGTATTACAGATGTTCCACATTTTTCCCCCATTGACCCCCTCCTCCCCATTCCCGCCCCCCTCCCACCTTTTCACACACTATTGTCTGTGTCCATTGGTTATGCATATAAGTTCTTTGGTTTATTTCTTCCCACCCCCCCAACCACTTTCCCTTTGAGGTTTGTCAGTCTGGCAATGAATTTGTGCTTCTTAATCCCTTCACCTTTTTCACCCATTCCCCCAACCCCCTTCCCAACTGGCAACCAACAAAATGTTCTCTGTATCTATGAGAATGTTCCTGTTCTTCCTGTTCATTTTGTTTGTAGATTCCTTGGTTGATAGATATGTATTCATTGCCATTTTGTTTGTTCATACATTTTATCTTTTTCTTCAAAAAGACCCTTCATCATTTCATATAATAACGGTTTGGTAGTGATGAACTCCTTTAACTTTTTCTTGTCTGGGAAAGTTTTTATATGTCCATCAATTCTAAATGACAGCTTTGCAGGATAGAGTAATTTTGGTTGTAGGTTCTTGGTTTTCATCACTCTGAATATTTCTTGCCATTCCCTTCTGGCCTGCAAAGTTTCTTTTGAGAAATCAGCTGACAGCCTAATGGGAACTCCCTTGTAGGTAACTAGCTGCCTTTCTCTTGCTGCTTTTAAGATTCTCTCTTTGTCTTGACCTTTTGCATTTTGATGATGATGTGTCTTGGTGTGGGCCTCTTAGGGTTCATCTTGTTTGGGACTCTCTGTGCTTCCTGGACTTGTATGTCTGTTTCCTTCACCAAGTTAGGAAAGTTTTCTGCCATTATTGTTTCAAACGGGTTTTCGATTTCTTGTTCTCTCTCTTCTCCTTCGGGCACCCCCAAGATGCGAATGTTGGCACGCTTGAAGTTGTCCCAGAGGCTCCTTACACTATCCTCATTTTTTTGGATTCTTTTTTCTTTTTGCTGTTCTGATTGGGCATTTTTTGCTTCCTTATATTCCAAATCGATGGTTTGCTCCTTGGATTTACATACTCTATTATTGAAGCTGTGTAAATTATTCTTTATTTCAGTTAATGCCTCCTTTAATTCTGTGTATCCATGATTTCTAACTGGTCCTTTTTTATGCTCTTGAGGCCCTCACCAAGTTCACTGAGGTTCTCACTAAGTTCATTGAGCATCCTTATAAGCAGTATTTTGAACTCAGTATCTGTTAGGTTGCTTATCTCCCTTTCGCTTAGTTCTTTTATTGGGGTTTTGTTCTGTTCTTTCATTTGGGACCTGTTTTTTTCTATCCTCATTTTGGCTGCCTCCCTGTGTTTGTTTCAGTGTATTACTTAATGAGAGGTATGGGGCTCGCTGAGACCAGATGCTGCTCGTTTGAAAGAATTTAGGAAAAACCTGAAGCAGGATCCAAGACCGGCCAATCCTATGGTTAAGCAAGTGGCAACAGCTTGGGTGGGCTTGAAAGTTGGGTGGGGCGGGGCCTCAGGGAGTCAGCAGGGCGGGGCTACCAGTGTGAGCCAGGTTGCTGGAGTCCCAGATATGGCGACTGTCTGCCCCCAGGGAAGGGCTCACCAAAGGAACAAAGGCCTCTTACAGCACGTTTGTCCCCGAGGAAGCCCCCTCTCCAGCGCTTGCCCCAGTGCCAAACAGCTCAGTTCTTCCCTGTGTGTCTCTGGCGCCCCTCGAGCTGCCCCCCCTCCGAGCTTAGAGGGAGAGAGTCCGATAAGTCCGTGCGCCGGCCCTTTAGGGAGCTGCCTGGGGCTCCAGCTGCCTCAACCTCCCTGAGCCTCAGTTCCCTCTGGTTTTTCCAGCCAGAAGTTATGGGGATTCTCTTCCTGGCACTGGAACCCTGAACGGGGCACCTGGTGTGGGACGGGGACCCCTCAGTCCTCAGGAAGGACCTTCCCAGCTGAGGTGTCCTCCTGATTTTTATCCGCCGCCCCCACCTCGCGCCACCGCCTGTCCTACCGGTCTGGATGTAGCTGCTTTTTTTTCTTAGTTCCGTAGTTGTACGACTTCCATTCAGCTTGATTTCAGGCGGTTTTGCATGATGGTTGTTCTGTAGTTTTGTTGTAACTTTGATGTGGTTGTGGGAGGACGCGATACCGCGTTTACCTACGCTGGCATCTTGACCAGAAGTCCGATCTGGGTTTTTTTTAAATAGCTAAATTCTTTACCATCAAAGAGTATGATGGGTTTTGTAAATAAATATAAGAGGTTTAAACACTTTCATTTACTTGAGATAACCAAGGAGTTGTGAGCAAGAATAAAACCAAAAGCAGGCTACGAGTCCTCTGAGAGGAGAGGTCTGTGGGCCTGAGTAGGTCATTAACAAGCAACACCCCATTTCATTGTCGGGGTGCCAAGGTAAAAAGCACTTGTGTAGTAACACTGCTGGCACCGGACAGGTTTTATAGAACAAAGGAACAATCCAGGTATCCTGACCGATGTCCATCTTCTTTTTCTCTATAATTAGGAAGGTATCTTAGCAGAATTCAGGTTGCTGTTCTATTCTTTCAGACTGTAGAAGCAGAGCGGGGCTAATGTTTCCGAATGCCTCCCCTTGGGCACCATGCGGGGGGAGGTGGGCAAGGCACTCACTGCATTCCCACACTTTCCTAAGTAACAGCTAGAGCTCCCTGATACAATTCAGGTTGGGGAAGCTGCTTCTGTGATTCTTATACCCCTCCCTCCCTGGTTTGTTGTGAGAGGCTCATAGTAGTAGTCTTTTGCCTTTCTATATCTGAGTTTTAAAATGTCCCAAACAAAAGCAAGGTCATTTAGGAAAAAGGGGAAAAAAAAAAAACATTGGAAGAAACAATCTTTTTTTTTTAATCCCCATTATGTACCAACCCCAGAGCTAAGTGTTTTTGTTTGACATTGACAATATGGCCCAAAGTCAATGGCTGTAACCTACTGCCCTTGATACCATGGTAACCCTTATAAGTATATAAGCAACAGACGTAGAAACCTCTGCTAAAATGTCACTTCTACTACACATTTATTCCGAAGAAAGTGTACAATTTTGATGAACATTTACTCATAGGAACAATGCCAAGAAACATAGGCCTAAATAAATCAGATCAATTTACTGCAATTTATACACATTCACCACACTATGTTTCTTTGTGAATATCTAAAGTTGGTCCTTTTATTGCCTTGAAAATGGTCTCAATGTTGGTCCCTCAAACTGAATAACCCAAGTGAAATCATAACTTTGTAGAATTTTTCGAAAAAAACAAAACAAAACAAAAAAACCTCTTTGATCTCTACCATAAATGATGGTTATATGAATATCATTTTATACGTTTGGCTCCCAGCCATCTGATAGCTTTATTCCAGTACAACAATAAAAACTGTTAAGGGAAATGAGGAAATAGCATAGGGATCAGTACTCTTAGCCTTTAATCATGCATTGGAGTCTTGATGCTTGTTTGCATTTGCTTGGAATAATATCTAAGGGAACATTAAGTTCTAGGCTGAGGCTATTTGAAATCCCAGGAAGGGCTCCCAGGAATAGTTTGACTTTTTTGTGACATTGGTTTTTCTGATGAAGTACATCCTTCCCTAATGAACAAGACCTGGCACTGCTTCCTATGACAAAATCTGACCAATGCAAAAAACGTGATGATCTGTTTGGGAACGAGTGTTTTAACAAAAGATACATGACATTGGCTGTGCTTTGGCAGGACATCTCCCAGACCATCATGAAGGCCGTCATCCTGGCCCACAGCTGATCTCTACCCCACTACAACTGAGCACGTTCCCACTGACATCAAACAATGCTGGCACGGACACAATGACATAATCCCAGAGCAGTCGTGTTGGATTCTGCTTTGTTAGAGTCCTGCCGCCCCCTCCTCATGCTCCCCCCAGAAAACCCTACTCAGGAAGAGATCTGAGGCTCAGCAGAGCTGTTCAACAAGGACATTCCTCGGCAAGCATATGCACACGGATAGAGAAATTGCAATTGTAGAAAGGAAAAGGCAAATCTTTTGCAGTAAAATGTAATAAATGTGAAATAAAGAGGATGCAAAAAGTGGACTTTGAATTATCAAGGTCACAGGTTACCAAATATTTTGACTCTGGAGCAATGGGCCAGTTAGTTTAGGAGAAGATAACACTTACTTTTAACTGTATTTTATAAAAAGATATCAGTGCATTAAGATTTTTTACCGTGCTGATAATATTGAGGTTTACACATTCATTCATAAAAACTGGTCTACATTACCCGCATAAATGCTTGATGTGTCCTACAGTTAGTGATTGTGCTTGACACTTTCATGCTTCCTGTCATGACATCAGAAGTTCCATTAGAAGAAAAGTAAAACCTTGATGGAGACTCTGCCTTTCTGTTCACATCCAAACTCATGTTATAAAACAAAACTGCAAAAATGTAGAGAGAATTGCAATTTAATATAAATAATTTTGAAAAGCATTTATTTTGTTATTTTTGATGTGATAGTAGTCCAAGTTATAGAGATCATTGGAAATGTCTTAAACTCTCTTTAATAAATAGCTTTTTAAAACTAACCTGAAATATGATGGAGGGAACATTTTAAAAATACATATTTCACAAGTTATTTTTATAAGTAAAAAATGTATAAACTTTCTCTAGGTTTCTATCTTTAACAATATCAAAATCTGTAGTTTTTGCTTAATCCACTTACATGTAAATGTTTCAAAACTCCAATCCCAACATTGTTACTAATAACGAAAGTCCTGAGTCAAGTTGCACATTTCTGTGGAGTCCTTAGGACATCCAGCTAAAGAAGTACAGTACTTGTGCTCAAGTGCCACTTAGAATATTTCTGCCTTGTGTGGCTATATAATTAATTTCATGTGTTGTTAGGTTCATTTGTTTCCAATTTGAGGGGTTCATATTTTTCTTTTATTTGTTTTTTTTATCCTATTGTAAAGTGAACACATGATTCAAAAGTCAAACCTATACAAACAGTTTACGCAAAGACATCTTTGCAGCCCTGGGCCCTGATTAGTTTTCTCCATGGTTTTATGGTTTCTAGTTTGAGCTTCAAGTGCTGATTTGTGTAAAAATAAACAAATGTAGATAGACATTCTCTCAATAAATATTTTGGAAGTTTGGTAAGAACTTATTTCAAATCTGACACCGTAAATAATCATCCGCTAATGATCCTCAGTAAGCAAAAAAATTAGAAAAATTTACAAGCAACTAAAAGAATTCCAAGCCAGATCTTACCAAGAAAGAGTCATTTCTTTAATCTAAAAGGGATCTTTGCAAAACCAGCTACATTTAATAGTCTGCTGAGATGTCACTCATATAGGAGCAATAATCCATTAGGTGATATTTTGAAGAATTTAGAAAATTCCTTTAGTGTACATTTACATTTTAGGAGTATCTAACTCTTCTGGAAGGATTTCATCTACTTTTCTAGAAGGATTTTTATGAATTTATGTCAAGGAAACCTAAGCATAAAACCTATACTACTACAAATTTCAGATAAATCTGTCAACCTTCCTTTTATTTAGAAAATAATCAATAAAGTTCAAATCAACTGGCTTCAACATCCCAGGCCCTGAGACAATGCCTGCGAGCTGGAGCTGCCATGGAAACAGCCCTCTGCAGATTCAGGCAAAAGTAAGTGAAGAAACATGAGTAAAAAGCCCCTCACAGCAAGAGGCAAAATGTACTGGTTTTATTAAACATGCTTAGTGTGAATTATTTCTCTTAAGGAGTCATTTTATGACAACTCTAAAGCATGTTTTTATAACAATGCTGTGGTTATTTATGAATTTCATATATTTGTTTTCAACCAATTAAAAAATATCTGGTCACAGTGGAATTGGTGGTACAACAAACTCTAATTTTACATAAAGGAATCCTATCGATTGAACACGCATCCTTCAGATAACCCAGCAGCTTGTCTGTGTTCCTCTGTTACAGGGCCATGCTGCCAAACTGCCACTTCTTCAGTCGAGAACCAGACGAAAGTTTTGCCCACAGGCCCGTCACTGCCTCTCTGGCCAGAACTTTGCAGAGTGCTATAAACACGAGTCTGACAGCGAGCAGAGCTGCTAGGCTCCTTCTGTGCTTCTCACTACAGGCTAATTCAGACCGGGACATCTGCTACAACCCATAGCTCGGTTCAGTCTTTGCTGCCCTTCATGATGTTTTGATCAGGACAGCCTGCAGGGTCATGAGTACAGTCAACTCCTGATAGGTCTTGAGGGGCTCATGAACTTGGTGAATTACTGATGTCCAAATGATAAACCCAGGTATGCTTCTCCCCTAACATCGTTATAAGCTTTAATATAACATAATTAGAACATTAACTTGTAAAAAATGTAGTACTTATGAAGTCGCATTTGTGATTTGGGATGAACCGGAATTTTGGATGAGCCATATCAATGCTACTTTCTGCAGAGCAGATAACCGAGAGTTACCTCTGTATGGAAAGATGGGCATGGGAGCTCAGGAGCTGAGAGTTCTAATAAATCCTTAGCAGATGTGTGTTATTTATTAAAGGTACAATCAGGGTCAGGACTTCAGATCCATTTTCTTCAATTACTCGAACAGAATAGAACGTAAAGAAAAGAATCTCTCTCTCTCTTTCTCTCTCTGGGTTTCCAACCTAAGCCAATGCCAGGCTTTAAGGAGCCCAGTAAAAACAGAGCCGGAGCTGTGGTGATGTTCTTTCTACTCTAAAGAGCTCTTACTGATTAAACTCAGTTTGTTTACTTTAAATAATGCAGCAAGTGATACTCTTGATTTGCTTATCACAACCTCTAAATCACTGTAGCCTCTTAACGTGCCCCATGCATAAATTAGAATAACAAGCTAATCTGAAATATGGGGACGAAAGGTGTGCTAGCAGGTGACTGCTCCCTCCTGCCTGCAGCAGCCCTCAATGGTGAAACAGAGTGAGGGCTCAAAAGATGACTAAGATTAATGAGTAAAGTATGCATTCTATTAATTTTGTAAGGACGCCCTTACCAATATAACCTGGAACCTCTTTGCCCTTGTATGAGAAACAGAGTGTTAGATCCATGCACACAGAAGGCAATCCATTTTCAGTGCAGTCAAAATTCGTTCTATTTACTGACTCAGGATGGCCTAAAGAGGCTTCGACAATCACTACAGGTCTTGTCCTAAGGACAAAATAAAATTAGCAATATCAATTACAGAATTATTTGGAAAAGAATTGTACTGTTTTGTCAGTTTCCATTGACCAAGTAATTTCATGAAACTGCTTTATTACTAGTATGTACACAAAAGCTCAATTAATTCTCCATGCAAGAATCAAGAGTGCTTTTCATTGAAATATCTGAAAATACTGACTTTGTCTGATTATATTAATTATATCTATGTAAGATGGGAAAAGTATCCTAGAGTTCAATAATTAAATTTCAAAATACCAAAAAGAGCATTATAAGGTCACCACCATTGCTCATTTAAAAAATTTCCTCCCATCAATTGCAATTAAGCCCAATTGTCATTAAGCAGTGAAATGTATCAACCTTACCTTAGCAATACAGCAGAATCAGACCGAAAAGCACCAACTGCTACATCTGGAGGATAAAAAACAACATGGATTAATGATCATCATTAGTCAAAGAGAATGACTCTTCAGTCAGAAATACTTAACTACATATCACTTTTTGACTATATCAAAACACTATTTACAGAAAATTAATTAGATAGGATATGCTTACATCTTAAGATTCATCCCACATTTGTCTGAATCTACTCAGCTACAATGGCATCCATCCTTTATAATATAATATAAACATAATATGATATAAAATGAAAATCCAATTTTTTGACTAGAAACATTCACCCAGAAATCTTTCAAATTACAAAAAATAAAAAGACTCTTCTCTCTCGCTATTTTTTTTTATCATCCCATGTTTCATTTACTTTCATGGATGCTTTTAATTTTTTAAAGAACAAGGAAGAAAATGTTAAATAACTAACATTGTAAAGCACAGGAATTAGTTGATAATTTCTGACCAATCCTTGAATTCAAAACAGTTTTAAAAATGAAGAAAAAATGATCAGTAAATAGAACTCTTTTATGTACTTCTCAATAAACAGAAGTATCCACAATAGAGCTTATTTCAATATAAAAAATAAGGTAAATTTTATACTCACCTACATATCCATTATTATCTGCATCGATTTGCCCAGATATAGACTGTCCAAACATACTTAAGGATTTGCTGATTTGAAGCCCTTCAATTCTCTGAAAAACAGGTAAAATGAGTGAGAAGTGTTTTTGAACACCTACTATCCCAGAGAAGCAATGATTTGGTTAAATAATAAACCTTCTCATGCCCTGGCACATTTATGAACAAAATGTATTTTATTTTTATATTATTTTTTATTATATTTTTCTCCAATTTTTATTATTTTTATTACAGATGTTCCCCCACCCCCACCCCAGATACCTTCCTCCCCATCCTGCCCCTCCAACCCCTTACTCTGAGGTGTGTCGGTCTGAACCATACTCTTTCTATGTCTCTGGGTCTATTTCGTTCATCAGCCCACGTTCTTCATTATATTCCACAAATAAGTGAGATCATGTAGTATTTGTCTTTCTCTGATTGGCTTATTTCGCTTAGCATAATACTCTGGAGGTCCCTCCATGTTGTCTCAAAGGATAAGAGATCTTTATTTCTTACAGCTGCATAGCATTCCATTGTATATATGTACCAAAACTTTTTTATCCACTCATCTATTGATGGACACTTGGACTGTTTCCAGATTTAGCGATTGTAAATAGTGCTGCTATAAACATAGGAGTATGCCCTGGCCAGTTTGGCTCAGTGGTTAGAGCGTCGGCCTGCGGTCCGGAGAGACCCGGGTTCGGTTCCCGCTAAGGGCACGTACCTCGGTTGCAGTTTGTCCCCGGCCCTGGTGGGTCGTGCGGGTGGCAGCCACTCGATGTGTCCCTTCACGTCGATGTTTCTCTCTCTCTCTCCCTTCCTCTGTCTCCCTCCCACTCTATCTGTACAAAAAATGGAAAAATATCCTCAGGTGAGGATTAAAAAAAAAACAACAAAAAAACAAAAAAAAAAAACATAGGAGTATATATATTCTTTCTGACTGGTGTTTCAGGCTTCTTGGGATATATTCCTAGAAGTGGGATCACTGGGTCAAATGGCAATTCAATTTTTAATTTTTTGAGAAAACACTATAGTGTGTTCCATAGTGGCTGCACCAGTCTGCATTCCCACCAGCAGTGTACTAGAGTCCCCTTTTCTCCATACCCTCGCCAACACTAGTTGTTTGATGATTTGTTGATGGCAGCCATTCTGACAGGTGTGAGGTGATATCTCATAGTTGTTTTGATTTGCATCTCTCTGATGATTAGTGGCGTTGAGCATTTCTTCATATGTTTCTTGGTCATTTGTATGTCCTGTTTGGAGAGGTCTATTTAGCTCCTCTGCCCATTTTAATTGGATTATTTGTCTTCTTTTTGTTGAGTTGTATGAGCACTCTATATATTTTGAAAATTAACCCCTTATCTGATGTATCATTGGCGATTATGCTCTCCCATATAGTGGGTTCCCTTTCCATTTTGATGGCTGTTTCTTTTGCTGTGCAGAAGCTTTTTAGTTTGATGTAATCCCATGTGTTCATTTTTTCCTTTGTTTCTCTTGCCTTAGGCGATGTATCAGTGAAAATTCTGCTGCGTATGATGTCTGAAATGTTGTTGCCTACATTTTCTTCTAGGACTTTTATCGATTCACAAGTCACATTTAAGTCTTTTATTCATTTTGAGTTTATTCTTGTGTATGGTATAAGCTGATGGTCTAGTTTCATTTTTTTGCATGTAGTTGTCCAATTTTCCCAACATCATTTATTAAAGTGGCTGTCTTAACTCCATTGTATGCTCTTGCCACCTTTGTCAAATATTAATTGAGCATAAGGTTTGGGTCCATTTCTGGGTTCTCTGTTCTATTCCACTGATCTATATGCCTGTTCTTGTACCAGTACCAGGCTGTTTTGATTACAGTGGCTTTGTAGTGTAACCTGATATCTGGTATTGTAATCCCTCCTACTTTGTCCTTCTTTTTCAAGATTGTTGTAGCTATTCGAGGTCGTTTTTGGTTCCATATGAACTTTTGAAGTATTTGTTCTAGTTCTGTGAATATGTCATTGGTATTTTGATGGGGATTGCATTGAATCTATAGATTGCGTTGGGTAGTATGGACATTTTAATGATGTTAATTCTTCCAATCCATGAACCAGGTATGTGCTTCCACTTTTTTATATCTTCCCCTATTTCTTTTTTCAATGTACTATAGTTTTCTGCAAATAGTTCCTTTACTTCTTTGTTTAAGTTTATTCTTAGGCATCTTAATTTTTTTACTGCAATAGTAAATGGGATTGCTTTTCTAGTTTCTTTTTCTGTGAGTTCATTATTGGTGTATAAGAATGCCATGGATTCCTTGATGTTAATTTTGTATTCTGCTACCCTTGTCAAATTCATTTATTATATCTAGCAATCTTTGATGGAGTCTTTGGGGTTTTGTATGTATTATATTATGTCACCTGCAAATAATGACGTTTCACTTCCTCCTTTTCAATTTGGATCCCTTTTATTTTTTCTTCATGTCTAATTGCTGTGGCTAAGACTTCCAGTACTATGTTAAATAAGGGTGGCAAAAGTGGGCATCTTTGTCTTGTTCCTGTTCTTAAGGGAAATGCTTTTAGTTTTTGGCCATTGAGTATGATGTTGGCTGTAGGATTTTTATTTATGGCCTTTATTATGTCAAGATATAATCCCTCTATTCCCACATTGCTGAGTGTTTTTATCAGAAATGGGTACTGGATTTTGTCTAATGCTTTTTCAGCATCTATTGATACGATCATATGGTTATCATCTTTCATTTTGTTTATGTCGTGTATCACATTATTATATTATTATATAATATTATACCACCCTAGCATCCCTGGGATGAATCCCACTTGGTCATGGTGAATAATTTTTTTAATATATTGCTGGATCCGATTTGCTAGCATTTTGTTCAGGATTTTGGCATCTATGTTCATCAGGGATATTGGCCTGTAGTTTTCTTTCTTTGTAGTAGCTTTTTCTGGATTTGGAAATAGAATTATGCTGGCTTCATAAAACAAGTTTGGGAGTCTTCCTTTTTCTTGAATTTTTTGAAATAGTTTGAGGAGAATGGGTATTAGTTCTTTGAATGTTTGGTAAAACTCTCCTGTGAAGCCATCCGGGCCTGGGCTTTTGTTTGCTGGGAGAGTCTTGATTACATCTTCAATTTCCTTAGTTGTTATTGGTCTGTTGAAGTTTTCTATCTTTTCCTGGTTCAGTTTTGGGAGACTATGTGGTTTTAGAAATTTGTTCATTTTGCTTAGATTGTCCAATATGTTGCTGTATAACTGTTCATAGTATTTGTTAATGATCCTTTGTATTTCTGTGGTGTCAGTTGTTACTTCTCCCCTTTCATTTCTGATTTTGTGTATTTGAGTTCTCTTTGTTTCTTGGTGAGTCTAGCTAAGGGTCCATCAATCTTGCTTATCTTTTCGAAAATCCAGTTCTTTGTTTCATTGATCCTTTGAATTGTTTGTTTGGTCTCTATGTCATTTATTTCTGCTCTGATCTTTACTATTTACTTTCCTCTACTTGCTCTGGGTTTTCTTTTTGTTTGCTTTCTAGTTCTTTAAGTTGTGAGGTTAGATAGTCAATTAGAATTTTTTTTTCTTGAGGTAGGCCTGTAATGCTGTGAACTTCCCTCTCAGAACTGCTTTCGCTGCATCCCATAGATTTTATGTTGTTGTGTGTTCATTTTCATTGGTTTCCAGAAAGTTTTAAATTTCTTCCTTGATCTCCTTTGTAACCCATTCATTGTTTAATAACATGCTATTTAGCCTCCATGTGTTCAAATGTCTTTGCATGTTCTTGTTGCAAATGATTTCTAGTTTCATGCCGTTGTGATCTGAGAAGATGCTTGATATGATTTCAATCTCCTTGAACTTGTAGAGACTTAGTTTGTGTCCTAACATGTTGTCTGTCTTTGAGAATGTCCCACGTGCACCTGAGAAGAATGTGAATTCTGCAGTTTTGGGGTGTAATTCTCTGTAGATGTAATTCTCTGAAATGTATTTTAGTTAAGTACTTGCACCTAAGAGAAGCAAAAGTTTCCATCTTTCAGTGGACAGTTGATGTCTATTTTGTGATAAGAAAAAAATTACTTGCTTTACTTTTGAGCAAAGTCAGATTATGTAGTCCGATCTCCTATGCCAGTTCTGACTGCCCTCCCCACTCTTCTTTCAGGCTCCCTAACCGCCACGAATTACCAAACAAGTCATCTGGAAAATGAGACATTTCTAATACGTTAGTGAAGCCTACAACTCAGGCTTATGATGAAAGCCACTCTGTTTATTAGTCAGGTTGCTTCCTAGCATTGGACAAGGACAGCTCAAATTCTATGCTTCCTACTGCATGGGTTCAATTTCACGTCCAAATAGTGATTTGTAAGTATCAGGCTGCTATCCATACTTAGAAAATCAGTATTTTTTACTAGACAAATACATACCTTCCATGTTAAATATGGAAAGCCACATGCCTATTTTTGCCTAATCAGAAATAACAGTATTAGCTAATGTTTCCATAAAAGTATCTTTGAAAAAGCTTTTCTTCTCCGCATGTGTATGTAGTTTTTTTCTATGCACTGGACTATTTTTCAAAATGTAAAAGTGAAGTCAGAGTTAGATCAAGAACTTTATTAAAGTGCTATCATCTTACTGCTTTGCATTGAAAGGAACAGAGAGTATCCTGTGAGTGTTTGCGCTCCCTGTATGATCTCCAAGAAATATGGGACTTTGGCCACAAGACGTGACACAGTTAATCAAATCCAAATGGGTTTCTTTGGAATCATATAGATATTACCTCAGAACATAAATTTAATGAAATGCAGAAAGAAAGCTTTATAGGTTAAAGACAAACTAGAATGGAAGTGAACTAGAACTCTTATTTATAGGGGAAAAAAATAATTCCAAAGACTTATTAATGCCCTTAAAAATGAGACCATCTATTGTAATGATTTAAAAAATGGTGAAATAAAAAAGTACTTGAACTTAATTTATTAAGTTAGGAAAAATAAATCCACATCAACATTGGAAATTTTAAAGTTTTTATTACCAGTGCTTCTTTTGAAAATAGAATTGACTCCTACCTGTGAGAAGGCTGGTGAGATCCCATCTGCTCCGCCATTGTAAATATAAATAGCGCCTCCTAAGTCATCTTCCTGTGGAGCACCAATGGCAACATCTATTCAAGAATTAAAATGGTGGAAAAATAAATTCTCCATACAAAGACTGCGATTCTGAAAACTAATCTTCATGCTCCTTAATTCACATCACATTAGAAACACTTTATGAAAACAAAAGTAACACTTTTCTCATTAGATCCAAAAAATTACAAAATACTAACATCATCACAATGGACAGGGTAGAGCAGGATAGTGGGTGCGTGGAAGCAGCAGAGTGAATGATTCTGAGAAGCAGTCCAACAGAACAGCTAAGGGCATGGGCTCTAGCGCCGGACCTCTGGGGTCTAACCCTAGCACTGAGGCTGTGCTGTTCACTGGGCCCAATTCTTAACTTCTCTGTGTCTCATCTGTTCCCTCACCTATAACGCAGGGTCATAAGAGAGCTCACTCCCTCAGCATAGGACATTATTCATCTAAAGTGCTCAGAGTAGCCCTGGCCAGTGTGGTTCAGTGGTTAGAGTGTCAGCCCACAGACCAAAGGGTCACGGGTTGGGTTCCTGGTCAAAGGCACATATGTGGGTTGTAGGTTTGATCCCAGGGCAAACAACGTATCTCTCTCACATTGATGTCTCCCTTCCACTCCCTCTAACAAATAAAGTGCTTAGAGCCATGCCTCGCAGATAATAAATTATCATCTATGAAAAGAATCCTTATTTTGAATTCTAGGATTTACTTTATTTGCAAAATAACTTCTAAATTAACTCCTGTTACAATGAAAGTAATTAAGATGTTTGTTCAGGGTATCTGTACATATACTCACAAGATTTCAGAAAATGCATTTGTTCTATAAAATAATGACTGCATCACCCTTATGACTTGGAGATTCACATCAGTTTATGACACCAGAAGAAAAAAGATTTGATCAACTCACATAAAAAAAACTAAGACAAAATAGAAGCTAGGAATGACATGGTTGCTTATATGCTATAAATGTATAGTACATGAAAGAAAAAAATCTATAGTTCCAAGAGCACTTCATTATTTACTAAGTATTGTGTATTTATTTGGTTATATTCATGTTTTTGTTTATATGCAATATTTTCTTATTACTTTAATAGAAACCTAAAATCCAGAAAGTTTGCTTTTATGATAGTCACTTCTTATCATTGTTCATCAGATCTAAAACCTTTCTAACAACCACAGTGGTAATTTTTGACTGCTATTTCAATGCAAATAAAAATATCTTTATTATATAACCTTAGGCCAAATACTATGCAATTTTAAAACTGCAAAGGCTCTTCTATTTTTATCTAAAAATAACTGATTGACACACTTTATATTTATTTTGTTTAGACCTACTAAGGCTACCCTCCTTGACTTGTACAAATTAAGTTTTCATATACAAATACACCGATTCATTGACTCAGTCAGTGAGCAACTATTGAGCACCTACTGTATTCCAAGCATTTGCCAGAAGCTGACAATACAGGGCATGGACACAAAAAGGAGCTCATAACCAGTGGGGAAGAAGAACATGTAAAAACAGAATCATAAAGCAACATGCAAGAAGGTGATGGAGACTGGGGAAGACTTCTCAGAGATGGTATCCAAGTGCAGACTCAAGTATTGGTAAGTCATAGCCTGGTGAACAGAAGGGAAAGAAAATTTAGAACAAACAGGGAAGCAAGAGGCAGCACAGCACACATGGGGAGTGGAAATGAGTTTGGAATACCTGGAGCCTGGTGTGTGCTGGAGAAATGCATGTAGGAACAGAATGGGAAAGAGCAAGGAGGGAGAAAAAGAAAGACGGAGAGGGGAAGAAGAAGGTCAAGAAAAGGAGTGGTCGGGAGGACTATCCTGTAGCCACTGAAGATAAGACCAGTGAGCAATTTTGTTGATCAGGGCTGGGACATACTTTGACAATGTGGCTACTACTTAGTAACTAGAATTCTAAACCTTGCTTCTTGGTGATAATATGCGAAATGATAACAGGTCTGGATTATGAAGTTGTTGATAACACCAAAATTCTTGAAGTATTAATTAGTAGCACTAGTGATCTATTTTGAGACAACTATCTTGAAACAATACAGATGAGCCTCTTTAGTTAAAATATAAGAAAGACTCAGATCAATGAAATTCCAAGCAGGTGACATCTGGGTGTAGTCTATCTTATACCCAGGGTCCTTACTCTTACTTGGATCCATTTTATAACATACTAATATTCTAGCTATCATAGAAATGAGGAAAACACATGTGAAACACACACACACATACACCCCAAAATAAAATGTCTTTCTGGACCTATGCAACTCAATTTGGGACACAACATACAGAAAAACAGTGAGATATTTAACAACCATTTATACCTTTCATCTGAACATTTTATTCATTCTGTTAGCATAAATCATTAGTATAATAATAATTACCTTAACATGAGCTAACAGTTATATAATGTTTACAAGGCAGGCACTATGCTGGGGACTTTATACATATTAATGTACCAAATACTTTTAGAACCCCACTTTTAACAGATGAGGAAAGCGAGGCACAGAGTGTCACTGGTCCAAGGTCATACAGCCAGGATACAGTGGTGCTGGAATTTAAACCCTGCAGTCTGGCTCCAGGGCCTGTTCTCTCCATCCCTATGCTGGATACAATCATTAACAGAGGTTACAGGAGGGGGCAGTCCAACAAGGCGGTTCAGGAAGATCCTGAACTCACCTCCTCCCACAGACCCACTAAATCCACCATTGCATATGAAATGATTCCCTCTGAAAAAGACCTGAACACTAGCTGAACAGCAACTCCACAACAAAGGATAAAATGCCACATTGAGACAGGTAGGGGAGGCAGAGATGGGATCTTGCCAAAAACCCCTGGAGTAGGGACCCACTATTGGGACAAATCTCACAAAGCAGGAGCTTCTCCCTGAGAAGCGAGGAAGTTGTTCCCCAAAGCAGAAACCCAAACAGTTGGGACCTGCACTGAGAGACAGGCCTCCATAGTGTCTAGCTTTGTAAAACAATGGAGGGTACAGACAGGAGACCCAAAGGGCTTTGGGAACTGAGATACAGCTCTTCAAGGGCTCGCACAAACTTACTTCGCTATGGGGCCCAGGGCAAAAGGAGCAGTTTGAAAGTTGCCTAAACTATTTGGAAAGACATCCACTTGCTACTCTGAAATAGTCTGCCGGAGGGCAGGGTCCTGTTGAGATCCCCTGGGAAGCAGGTGCTGGTGGGCATCACTTAGCACTCTCGCTCTATCTTGCTAGGGTCCTGCTTTCTCCCACTGCTCTGCTGCTGAGGTTGTCAGAAGCAACTGGCTACTGTGCCCTGCTAAAGCTGGCAAGTGTGTGCAGTTCCTACATTCTTTGATGCACTGCTAAAGCTTTGATCACCTGGCTCTCGTGAGTTGGGGTCTTACGTTCCGGAGTCTCACAGAACTATAACAATCAGTTCTTGAAGACAGCAGACTAAACATAATCCCACTCTTCCTGTGAAAAAGGTCTACTTGCTTGTCCTGGAGCTTCAGCCTGAGGGGCAGGCCTCAGGTTTCTCATACATCTAGAGGCCATGGAGTTGCTCTCAGGAAACATAGGCAGGGGACATCATCTTTGTGCTCTCCCTAGGACTTGATACAACTTGCTGGCACCTCTCAAAGAAGAGCTTTGTACACTTGTCCAGAGCCCCAATTTTTGCAACTCTCACCCGGAGAACACATCCAGATTGCCTGCTCTGGAGGCCAGCCTGGCTTGCTACTATGGTCCCACAGGACTGTATACATTGGCATACTTTTAAAGCTGTGGCCTCAGGGTTTGACTTCCATTCAGCTTGAAACAAGGTGTTGAATGAGATCTCTCCCTTTGGAACACTGACAGGTCCTGGCATACTCTCAACAACTATCAAGACTAAATCAGTCTGCCTAGACAGTCACAGTGGGCTGGAGAAAAAAGAGCTAGGGCAAGGATGAATGACAAGTTTCATCTATACAAGCCCACTCCTTCAAGACAGGGAGAGGTAGCTGTTTTATAAAATACATAAAAACAAACATGAAAAGTCAAGCAAAATGAGAAAACATAAACATGTTACAAACAAAAGAATGAGATAAAAACTCAGAACAAAACCTTAATAAAATGGATACAAGTAATTTGCTTGGTAAAAGACAAAGTAATGGTCATAAAGATGCCACTGAGCACAGTGAGAACTTCAACAGAGACAAAAAATTATAAGAAGGTACCAAACATAAGTCACAATAACTGCACTGAAAAGTACACCAGAGAGGTTTAACAGCATACTTAATGAGGCAGAAGAAAGGATCTGCAAGCAAAAAGACAGGGCAGTAGAATGCACCCAAATGGAGCAGAAAAAAAGAATTTTAAAAAGTGAAGACAGCTTAAGTGACCTATAGGACAACAGCAAGCTGAATAACATTTGCATATAGGGGCCCCTAAATGAGAAGAGAGAAAGGGCCAAAAAATTTATTTGAAGAAACTATGGATGAAAACTCCCCTAACTTGGGGAAGGAAAAAGATATCCAGATCCAGGAAGCTCATAGACCTAGAAAAGGTAAACCCAAAGACATCCACACGAAGACATATTATACTGTAAGTCCTCACTTAATGTTGTTGATAATTTTACTTAAAGTTACAGTTTCCAAGAACCCAAGTATAACAAAACCAATTTTACCATAGGTTAATTGATATAAATAAGAGTTAAGTTCTTACTGCATATTTCAGTTCACAAAAACATTAGCAAACTTCTAAATAAAGACCCCTAAACACTTCTAATATTAAATATTGAAATAAATATGAACCATACATACATTTAATAAAGATTAATAAGAACAAATAAGAAAGCCTTGGCCAGCTGGCTTGGTTGGAGTGTTGTCCCATACATCAAAAGGCTGCAGGTTTAATTTCCAGTCAGAGCACATACCTAGGTCGCAGGTTTGATCCCCATTTGGGGCATGTATGGCAAACAAACCAATCAATGTCTCTCTCTCTCTCTCTCTCTCCCTCTCCCTATTCCTCCCTAAAATCAATAAAAACAACCCCAAGTGAGGATTAAAAATCAAACAAACAAAACAAATAAGATGATTATTTTCAAACTCAGTTATTCCAGTCCAGGGTCACATACCCACACTGACTCATAATGGGACAATTTAGGCATGCCAATTAACCTAACGTGCACATCTTTGAGGTGTGGGAGGAAATTAGAGTAGCCAGGGAAAATGTATAAACTTCACATAAACAGCAGCCCTACCAGGGAATCAATTTTTTCCATCATCAATGTTATAACAAAATGACATTATTCAAGAAATTGCTGTAAATAAAATGTCAAAAATTAAAGATAAAGAGACACTCCTAAAGCAGCAGGAGGGAAAAAAACAAAACTAATGTACAGGAAAAAGCCAATAAGACTATCATATTTTTTCAGCAGAAATTTTGTAGGTCATAAAGAAGTGGCATGATATATTCAAAGGGCTAAAAGGAAAAAAAAATATCTTCCAACCAAGAATACTCTATCCTGCTAGATTTTCATTCAGAATTGAGAGTTTTCCAGACAAGCAAAAGCTAAAAATGCTTGTCAAAAACTAAACCACCCTTACAAAAAATGTTAAAGGGGCTTATTTAAATCAAAAAGGAACAAGAAAACATGAAAGTATAAATTTCACCAGTAAAGTAAAGGTAGTGAATTAATCACTTATAAAGATAGTATAAGGGTTAGAAGACAAAAGTAGTAAAATAACTATAACTATAATAGTTAATTAAGGAATAAACAGTATAAATAATGTAAATTATCACAACAAAAATATAAATAAAACATGGGAGGGGGAGTAAAATTGTAGTTTTAAAAGACATTCAAATGTAAGTTGCAAATTAAAATAGACTTTTATAAACATATATACATATGAGACTCATCATAACCGCAAAGCAAAAACCGATGGTAGATACACAAAAGACAATGAGAAAGGAATCTAAACATAACACTAAAGAAAGTCATCACATCACAAGGGAAGAAAGCCAGAAAAAAAAAAAAAGGAACAGAGAGGAACTACAAAACAAAATGGCAATAAGTATGTACTCATCAATAACTGCTTAAAATGTAAATGGACTAACTTTTCCAATCAAAAGAGTAGCTCAGTGGATTAAAAACAAAAATGAAAACAAAACAAAAGACCCATCTATATGCTGCCTACAAGAGACTTGCTTCAGATGTAAGAATGCACAGCGACTGAAAGGAAAGAAATAGAAAAAGATGTTCCATATGAATGGAAACCAAAGGAAAGTTGAAGTAGCTATATTTATATCAGAAAAAATAGACTTCAAAACAAAGATTTTAATAAAGCCCAGAGAAGAAGATAATATTTGTAAATATTTATGCAAACATAGGAGCACTGAAATATAGAAAGCAAATATTAACAGACCTAAAGGGAGAAATTGACAGCATATAATAATAGGAAACTATAAGACCCCACTTACACCAATGATTTCCAGATACAAAATCAATAAGAAACATGGGCTTTAAATAACACATTAGACTAGATATACTTTCTCTCTCTCTCTCTCTCTCTCTCTCTCTCTCTATCTATATATATATATATATATATATATATATATAGTAAGTTGGATATAGAACACTTCATCCAAGAATAGCAGAATACAGATTCTTTTTTTTTTTTTTTTTATCGTCACCCAAGGACATTTTTCCATTTTTTGTTCAGGTAGAGTGGGAGGGAGAGAGAGGAACAGAGAGAGAGAGAGAGAAACATCGACGTGAAAGGGTCACATCGAGTGGCTGCCACCCACACGACCAACTAGGGCCGGGGACAAACCGCAACCGAGGTACATGCCCTCAGCGGGAACCAAACCCGGGTCCCTCTGGACCGCAGGCTGACACTCTAACCGCTGAGCCAAACTGGCCAGGGCAGAATACAGATTCTTATCAAGTACAAATGGAACATTCTCCAGGACAGATGAGTTAAGCTACAAAGCAAGTCATAATAAATTTTGGAAGATTGAAATCATATCTAACATCTTTTCTGACCACAGGAGTATGAAACTAGAAGTCAGTTATAAGAAGAAGACTAGAAAAATCACAAATACATGGAAATTAAACAACATTATACTGAACCACCAATGGGGTCAACCAAAGAAATAAAAAGGATCATAAGAGTATAATATGAACAATTATATGCCAACAAGTTGGACAACTTAGAAGAAACAGATAAATTCCTAGAAACATACAATCATCCAAGATGGAGCATGAAGAAATAGTAAATCGGAATAGACTGATTACTAACTAGTAAGGAGACTAAACTGGTAATCAAAAACACCCAGGAAACACAAGCCCAGAACCAGATGGCTTCACTAGTAAATGCTACCAAACATTAAAAGATTTATTATTTATTCTTCTCAACTCTTTCAAAAAAGTGAAAAGGAGAAAAAGTACTTCCAAACTCATGTTATGAGACCAGCAGTATTCTGATATCAAAAGACAAGACTACAATCACACACACACACACACACACACACACACACACACACAGAAAGAAAATTGTAAGCCAATATCCTTGGTGTACACAGGTACAAAAATCCTCTGTAAAATATTAAAATAGTAGCAAACCAAATTCAATTGTACATTAAAAGGGTCACACATGCTGACCAATAGGATTTATTCCAGGGATGCAAGGATGGTTTAACATTCACAAATTAGTCAACATCATACACTACACTAATAAAACCAAAGATTATAATCATAAAATCATCTCAAAAGATGCAAAATAAAGCATTTAACGAAGTTCATCATACATTTGTGATAAAAATGCTCAACAAGGTGGGTCTAGCACATTTTAAGAGGGAAGGCTGGTAGAGACAAGCACTTCAACAGCTGGGCTGGTCTCCAGGCTATGGGCACAGTTATGACGGTACCATCTATTCCATTATTGAAATCGTTTTACATCTGTTGATAAATAGCCACCATCCCTGAGTTGCACCCTCACCACTGCTCAGGACTCAGTCCAGGGATCCCTCAAATCCTCCCACAGTGCGACAGCTGAACAAGGAATTCCTGGCAGAGCAGAGGTTTCTGGAGCCCTGCTCCATCCAGCTCAGCAGCCTGAGTTTTGTCAGTGTGTTTACTGCACTGATAGTTAAAGAATATAGTCCAATGGGTCTATGATACATATATATTTTTACATTTTAACATTTCTGGAATCAGAATCCTTCTTAAAATAGAAGAATGGTAGGTTACAATTTAATAGCATTTTTAGGGGCACAAACAATGCCACTCATAACCAATGGTGCCTTAGGGTCAACAACATACAGTATTTTGAATATCATTTACGAACAATAGCAAGAATCAATAGGTGACACTGAGAAGTCAGGTGTAAGACTGAAAAAAGGAAACAAAACTTATAATATTCTGGCTCCATTTTCTACAGAAAGACAAACAGGATAAAACTCCAATCATATTCTCTTCCATGTACCATTTTAAAAGAGGAAATCAAGTACCCAATTGGGTATTTTTAATTACCTTCAAAGCCATCATTATCAATGTCGCCAAGATTAACTATAGATTCCCCAAATCTTGCAGCATATGTGTCACTTCCCATGAGCTCTGTTGCCATTTCCTTCATTACTGCTCCCTAGACAGAAAGCAGGGGAAAGGTGTCATTATAACACTCCCTGACAACTTTACACATGATTTCCTGTTGTAATTGGATATGGATTTTTTCCTAATGCTCCAAACAAGTTGGACAAACTACAAACTGAGCTTTAGTACACACATCTCAGTTCAATTCAATAAATATTTGTCAAGTATATGTCAACACATAATCGTATGATTAGAGCTCAATGGATATAAAAAATGATCCAACTCATGATCCTTAGCTTTGAAAATCCAATAAATCATTCTGATAATTCAATTTAGCAAATATTTATTGAGTTCCTCTCGAAGGCACTGTGTTGTGCAAAGACTGAATGGTGAAAAGGGGGCAAGGCAGTGTGTTTACATGACACACTCCCTTTCCTGAAGAAGCCCCCAGTTGCAGCAAAGGCTAAGCAGAAGCATGCAAATGACTTAGAGGCAGAGACTGCTTTGCAATATCAAGTTGCAAGGAGATCATCTCTAATTGTGAGAGCCAGGAGAGAGTTCATAAACAATATTCAAGGTGGCTATTGAAGGATGGGCATAATTTTGATATACAGAGAAATGTATCAGCAATGCACCAATTCCAAAGAATTTGGCTATAATGAACAGTGTGTATAATGAGTGAGACCAACACATTCAGATTGGAGGCTTGTCGGGTGGAACCGTGAACACTGGGGGACATTTACTCTCCATTTAGAGGACAATAGGAAGCCACTGGAGGTGTCCAAGCTGAGGAGTGATGTGACTGAAGCTGGCCTTTGGAACCTTGTTCTAACAGCAGTGGAACAGGAACTGGTCAACTGCTCTCTCTGAAGCTGGAAGACGAGTTACTACAATAAGATATTCACTAATGTTGCAGTAACAGCTACCAGACTCTCTAAACCCCAATCATGTCACACTTTAGAGGGAAAAAAAAATCCATGCACTACTGACTTACTCCTCTGCTCACATAGTCTATCCATCACTCCCAAAGCACACACATGTTCTCCCCCTTGGCAAGTGCCCTTCACCTTTTACTTTCCAACACAAGATTCCTATACTTTGCTCTCAGAAAAATGCCTAATTTAAAGAGCAGAAGGCAGAAGAGACTCCAGTGAAGATGAGAAGGTGTAGACCTAAGAAAACACAATAGCACGGACGTTCCATAGGAGAGTTTCAAAAAGTGGTAATTACTCTTTGAGTAGTCTCCAGTCACAGAGAACGGTGACCAAGATTCACAGGGGACCCCTGAGAGCTATTTTAGTAGGAGCAGCAGAAGCTATATTCATTCAAGTATCATTCCTTCTTGAGTTCATTCAAAAACAGTTACCAAGCACCTGTTTGTCCGGGGCTCTTTCAGAGTCCACACAGTGTTTGTCTGCATTCCAGAGGAGGAACAGACCTTAGCAAACCAAACTAGTAAGTACATACTACCATGCTTTTGTGGTAGAGGTTAGTGCCTTTTTAGAGGGGCATAAAACAGGAAGTTAGAAAGGAACAAAGGAAGAATAATCTATGCCAGAGTAGGTTTTTAAAGCTGAAATCAATTAGGAAATAACCCCACTGTTCAGCAGTGGTGCCCCAAGGTAGGAGTGAGGAAAGAACTAACGGGTAGATCGTGGGTAGGGCTCCTCTCTTGCTTAAGATTTCAATGGGACAAAAAAGGTCCTATATTGCCTTAATTTAGGCATATATGCTACTGTTCAAACTATTCTCAAAAGGTTTAATTGTAGAAAGAAGGGAAAGATAAGTATGCCAAATGAGGATGTAGCTAGGATAAGGGAGACTATTTCTGGATAGGGAAATGGGAAATATCTCTGCAAGAAAATTAATAATGCCTGATATCACTATGCACTAGGCATGATCATTTTGTAGATAAGATGCTTTTACTGTTAAATGTAGATTTAATCACCAGTCTAGAAAATTCCAATGCATAAATCACTTTCCTGCTCTACATCTGGAACTTTCAGAATCTCTCAGCTTTATAAGACAGAGTATTTCCTCTTAAATTTTAAAAAGTTTAGCTTGTTGCTTAATATAGAAATTTATTAAATGATGTGGAACCATTGATTAAATAAGCTTACAAATACCTTCTTGAAACAGATTTTACTTTGTTGAATCCTGACCCAAAACTCTGTGTCTTAAGAAATGAACTAATGTTCTCACAAATGCGTTCATGCTCTTAAATCAAAGGCAGGTCAATAAGACCCCATCAAGGCCCTTATCAATTCTTTGCTTTGATTTAAGGCCAAGAAGTCAGACAGGCAAGACGAGACCAACAGAACTCTTTTAACTGACCGGTCAAGTGTTCAGTTTCTACTCCAAAGTATTCTCCATAATTTAAAACTCAGCAATAAGCAGTGAGTATGCATTTCTACAACTACTATATCCACTTTGGAATAAACGATGTCAATTTTATTTTCTTATCAAGAATATAATCTATATCAATTGTGCGAATTAGCATTCTATCAAAACATGTCTTGTTTCCAATTGTCAAATCAAGAAATTAGAAATATGAAATATTTTATCTTCTACTTCTAGTAATATTTGATAATTATTCAATTATATAAGGACATTCACTACAATAAGGAATCCACATTTGAGGGGTACAAAAATCATTCTTTCACATTAGATTGGTGTCATATATAAACTGAGAGAAACAATCTGTTGGAGTGAACACACACAGAGGTGAAGAGAAGAGCTCTAGAAAGGCTGATCTATTTCTGGAATATCAAATTGGGAAAACAGCCCATTTATCATCCTGTTTCATTTATTTTTTGGAACACCACCATAATAACAAAATTTTTACTTTCATCAGTAACATAAACTTAATAATCTATAGTCTCAGAATTCCAGAATAAGTTCCAAACACAATCACATAAGTGTGGGAATCACCGGACTTACCGAGCCAGAGTTGATGTACACGAACACTCTTCCTTCCTCCCTGATGACACTCTGCATGGGAGCTCCCACGAGGAGGTCTGAGAAGCCGTCTGCATTGAGGTCCACAGCACAGATAGAAGCTCCAAAATAAGAGCCAAGCTGCTCCAAAACAAACCAGATGCAGTCATTGAGAAAAAAGCAAGGTTAGTCACAAAAGCCCTCTGTGATACCAAAGGTAGAGACATATTACCTTTTTACCTTTCATTTCATATAAGATATTTAGTTCTTTTGCATCAATGCTGAATATGTACGCCTGTGGTTGGGAAAAGAATTAGAAGAGATTAGGCTGCTATCACATTAAACATGTTTTCATTTGAGCAAAACATCAGTTGTCATAACTTGTAATTGCTCAGATATATTTTCTAAAACCCTTTTCATAGTGATACCAGAGGTTTAGGAAACCACATTCAGGTTAACATGACTTCCTTGCAAAACTACCTTCTCAGGAACTATCTTCTAGATCCCTGAGGGCACAGAAAGTATTGTTTGCTTTCTTTTCCAAGGCAGACTCAGAAAAATTTAGTAACATATACACAACAATGTAACAAAAACTAAAGTCAGAAATAACATCTTATTCTTTCTGCCTCAATTTCCCTTTAGATATAAACTTGTTAACCAATAAATATAGTCCCCAGACACCTTGAGATCCGTCTCTCAAGAACAATTTACTCATAAGAAAGAAAAGCTGTATTTGACTTGTGTAATTTTCCTTAACGCTTTTCTGCTAAACTTAATCTAGAAGCCATACAACATTCACCAATTCCACTACATGTAGCACACTGCTCACCATTTCTAGCTTTCATTCCTTGGAATTTTTGCTGCCACTAATTTAGTATCTTCTCTCATGCTATCTAGTTGAACACTTGTAAAGAAATAAATATAAAAACATAGTTCTTACTTTACCAATCTGTTCATGTTGAGGGGCTCCTCCAACTACTTCGGTGGTATGCCTACTCCGAAAATGACCAGCTCCAACTGAGTATCCTTCAAGAAAACCAAGACAAGTATGAGAATAATCATCTGCAATGGGTAAAATATATTATTGTAAATCCACTCAGATGTAAATGCGACTGAATGCCAAATGACTTCAGAGAACAGAGCTTTAATAATATTTTACAAAGCAATACACAAAATTGGTTGTTCATTATATACTTTAAGCATTTATTAATGTGTTATGAAATTCGTTACATGGCCTATATTTCCAAGTCCTAGAAATGGGAGTAAACACCTTTACATTTGGTTTGTTAGTCTCTGTGTAGTATCAGGACATGCAAGCTTCTAGGATTACAACAGAAATATTTTAGAGTGAATAAAATATGACATTTTAATCTTTAAGTATAAAGTTTCCTAAATTTCAACTTGTTCCACCAGGAAATCTTCCTATTGTGATAAAATTTTATGATAGAAATGGGAAAATATTTTTGTTTTATTATATCATAAAAGGGATAACACCAAGTTACATTTTATAATACTTGAAGATAACCTTCAACTATAAACAAGTAAATGTTGAATTGTAAATGAATTTCTTGGGTTCAAATAGGATAAACAATACTGCTTTTTCTTATAATTATTTCTGAGTCTAGGCTGCTCACATTTGGAGCACAGATGGTTTACGCAAATCTGTACTTTCTAAGGAATCATAGGAAGAGCGTTCCTTTACTAGAACAGAGGAGCTAATGCCAGAAAACTCTCATTTCTATTGAAACAGATGATAAAGTATTCCACTGCTGACTTATTAAACAAGAATATAAATAAGAGTAAGAAGATAAAAATGGTTAAGCTCTGACAAGTATTCTAAGAACTTACAAGGCAAAGGTCAATGAGCTGTTTTTAGACCCATAGGCTTCATAATGTTACCCATTGTCTAGAATGCTGCCGACTGACTTTCAGTCAGTCCTTTAAGTAACACTTACTCATGTGTAATTAAATGAGTTAATTCATGTGGAGTTCTTACAAAAGTTCCTCCAGTATGGTAAGCACTCAATAGATGCTACCTTTGTAATAGGAAGTTGTCTACATAAAGGTACAGCTCAGAGTAAACACTTAGCAGTAAACCAGGAGTTGTCTAAGTATTATATATTGATGACTGTGGTTACATATGTTAAATAGGAAGTTAACTAAAGTTTCATAGAGTATGTTCTTAAACAAACAAACTGTCTTTTTAAGAGTCATTGGCCATTTTTATCTTTTGAAAATACAATTTCCCTTATTTATAACTACTGGTATCAATCAGTAAGAAAGATTATAATTTGAGTCTGTCAATTTTTACAGTACCTAAATAACTTCCAAATTTTACTTCATTTTCTTTGTCTAAAAAAGCCTTATATTTATTTGTAGTTATATTGTAGACAAAAAGAGAGCCGGTCCAATAAAATGATCCTGGAGCTCCCATCACGATTAAATCCTGTAAAAAAAAAATAACAATTTATCATCATTCAAAAGTTTAATCTCACCACTCCAAATTGCTTCCAGATATACATTTAAAATAAATAGTGACAAGAATACACATTTATAATAAATCTCTAAAATTTGAGCATCTTATAAATTTAAAAACACACCTGGGGGGGGGGGGGCTAGAGAAACTAGCTAATGGATTTTCACTTAAAAGTGGAATTTTAGAGAAGACACTCTGAAACTCTCACGTCACACTTCTCAGTAGACTTAGAAACCAAAGGCAGAGTCATTGAACACCAGAGTAAGCTTTTGGGAGAAAGGCAATGTGGTTTCTATTAAAGTAAATCATATCTGGGTAATTCATTAGTGCTCATTACAGAGATAATCATGTGATGTCAAAGAGTAAAAAATAGACTTAATTTATTTCAATTTGCAAAAAGCCATTAACTAGTTTCCTTAACAATGTTAGCTTAGACAGAAATAAGTCCAATGAAATTTGGGGCATATTTGATGACAAATATGAATTTATAAAAGTGAAACAGAAAGTTGGCGTGAGCAGATAGTTGTCTAGTAATATATAAAAACATTCAGCAATCTAACCTATTTAACATATTTCTAAATTTCCTAAACAATCCTGAACTCCAAAAAAAAAGATAAATTTAAATTTTGAACTTAAAAATGGTCAATTTAAATATGCACCAAAGAAAACATTTTTTACATAGTAGGTAATATTTATGGAAATTGTTAATCCAAGGCTTGATACAGGTTTTCTAGATTCAGAAAACCTTCATAAATTCGTCATTGGTGTTTGAGGGAAACTAGGAGCTTTGGAGGCTGAGTACAACTGTGATCTTTCACTGGGAGTCAGAGTGACTACAGCGGTAGAAAAAAAAAATAAGTGTTTGGGAACGTATCTGATTTAAAACATTAAGTTCTTCAGTCTCCCAATTCTCATCATTTTAATTGAAAGTGTGAATTCAGCCCTGGCTGGTTTGGCTCAGCGGTTAGAGCATTGGCCCTTGGACCAAAAAGTCTTGGGTTCGATTCCAGTCAAGGGCATAAACCTCGGTTGCGGTTTGGTCCTCAGCCCTGGTTGGGTCGTGTGGGAGGCAAGCAATCAGTGTCTCTCTCTCTCTCTCTCTCTCTCTCTCTCTCTCTCTCTCTCTCCCACTCTATCTGAACTTAAATGGAAAAATACCATTGGGTGAGGATAAAAAAACAAAAAGTGAATTCATATGCTTACTTCCCCCCAACAAGTAAAGATAACATACTTAGATATTTTCAGTGCCAAAGTTAACAAAACAAATAACTATAGCTACTTTTAATTTCCATTAAGTTCTAAATGAAAGTAATATTCTTTAGTACAAACTTTTAGTTGATCTTGTGAGGACAGCCATCTAATATTAGTCATTTTCTCAAAATATATGTGAAAGTGAAATATTGAGTGATAAAACTTAACCTATAATATTGCACTTTCAAATTTAAGAGACATTATTCAGATGGTATACAATTTTTACTGGAAAGCATAACATCACTCTTCTAAGTCTTCAGAAGAATTAAAATTCTACATGTAAACATTCATAGGTATTTTTTGGAGTATTACCTCTGTGTAAAAACTAGATATTCCAGCTTGACATGATGCAAAATTTTCTCCAAAATTTTTCACATAATCTAAAATGAAGTAGGAAAAACAATTCATGATTTTATTTAAAAATAAAGACAAAATCTGCATAATTTTATCTTGTGGAGGATGGGTGATTAGGCCAGAACACAAATTAAAAACAAAAACAAAAAACTTGAATGGTGGCCCCTTGCTCTGCCACCAACCGGTTTTTGACCAAAGGTTTAAAAAAAAAAGGGAAGAAAAAGTATTCACAGACAGACTATTGCTCTCATTTCATAAGCCCTCTACCCCACATTAATTTGCAAATATGGACAGACATTTGGGATCAGAAATAGCGTAAAAATCTGAGCTTGGGGCCCCTTCTGCTACCAGAGAACTAAAAGACCGAGAAAATTACATATCATTGGCTCAGTTTTCTCCTCAATAAAATGAAGGCATTTGACTCAACAATTGCCAAAATTTCTTCCACATCTAATATTCTATTACAGCTACTGCCTAATTTAATTAACTTTTCAGTATATGTGATCACCAACCAGAAATCACTTCTTATCTAAGGCTTAATGTATTTCATTCCAATTTTTGTTGTTGTTGTTGTTGTTATAGTTCCTCCATTAAAAAATTCAACAACAACAAAAAAAAGGGCATCCCAGATGTTGCTCAGCTGAAAATAATAGACCCCAGCAAATCCGCATGGAAACAGAGGGTCTCTTACTGCAGAGCCCCCACAAGTGGACGCTTTTGGAACCTGCTACGAAGACAAAGCTGAGCTTTGGAAGTATCGCGTAAGAAACCCTCTATAAAGATAAGAATCAGGACCACGTCTTTGCTTTGGTTTTATTAACTAGGACATTTAAGTGAATTGCTAAGTCATTTATAATTACTGTACTCTGTCATGATTTTTCACTTTTTTATATCTTCCCTGACCTTATTTTTTCTATTTTTATAAATTTCCCCATAATTTTAGGTGTCTTATATTTATGCCATCCTGAATTTTTGTGTAGAATGTGGCTATGTATAAATGAGCAAAAATAAAAACTCTATTGTGAAAATGTTCAAAGTATAAACCATAAACCATAAACCATCAGGACGAAAAGGATAATAAACATGCCAAAACCCAGAGTTTTACTCCAATTAAGAATTAAAAAAAATTTTTTTTTTACCTTCTTGACATCCAAAGGCAAATCGGGAATATATATGATTATAAGCTTCTCCACGACCCCCCAATGACAGGGAGGGAAGCCCCGACCCCAATATTACTAGAATCAGTAATTGAATTTGCTTACTTGGTCAAAATTTTGTCAGGTAACAGATACTTTCTTTGGAGATGGGGATAATTCTTTAAGTTAAAGTTTAAATGTACACACATTTAATGATGAGTTTTCCAAAGACACATTTTTAGAATTAGTTCTGTTGCAGGTACTCTTTTTAATGCTCTGTTGACATTCACCTCAAAGCTTTTTTTTTCTTCAGGTGTTAATTTCTGTCCTACCTCTGTGGACATTAATGCTGCCTGTGGAATATAATTTTTATGGGAAAACCTTTCAAACTTAAGATATCAATCCCTTGCCATTTCAAAAAAAAAATGTGAATTAGAAGTGAAAAAAAAAAACATAGGCAGTGAAAAATATTTGCTTCATTCATACTTGAATCTTTCTGAATATTCTTTGTACGTGAAGGTAAAGCAAGAAACTGAAACATTTTTCTTGTTACTGACCAGATTTTTCAATGTAATTACACAATTTTAAGTGTCCTACATTTATTGAGCATTAGAATCACCTTTACTGAATTGAAAGTGTATTTAATGCAAAAGTGGGTCATTATCAACTAGATTCTAGAATTATTCAAATTAAACTGTGGAACTTCCTAAAAGCACAAAGTGAATTTACGAAAACTACTATTCTAAGGAAAAAGAAAAGGATACTTTGAGAAGTTAAAAAGTACACAGCTATTTCAAAAATCCCCTCCCTGCACATCAAAAATTGAAAATAATTTTTAAAAAATTAAAAATCATCCACTTGTTGCTTTTGATCCAGTTAACATCAAAGTCATGTCCTACCTTGATAGCACGGAGCTATTCTTTTACTCAGTTCTGTCCGCAAATCAGAGGGCATTCCGTAGCAAACACCCGTGGGGAGCTTATTTTCATTCTTCATATAAAATATATTTTTCCATCTATGTCCACAAGTCTGAAAAAAACATAAAAGTAGACCAAGTGATGTGAAAGTCACACCCGGAATGTCTGATTTCATGATGTGATTACTGGACCAATTCCAATAACCTACCACGATAGATCCATTTTCTTTGGGCTGTCTGGAAAGTGTGACCCCCAACCACTGATTGTCTCTTTCTTCCAAACAAGTCTTTCCACAAGGCTCTCCACCAGGGCTACCTACAGCATTGGAAAACATTATCATCAGTTACCTTGAAAACCATGTTATTCTAGGAGAGCAGAGAAAATAAACACATCATGCTTGTCCCCAATGTTCCCCCCTTCAACCATGTGTGAAATGCCCTCCTGCCCTGCTTCTCTATCATCTTCTGTTCAGCTCACAGTGGGGGCAGGGGATAATGATGAGGTACTTGTTGCCAACCTGTTTTCTTGCAAGGTGATTTTTATTTGTAGAAATGACTGATAACACTGTGAAGAAATGACCTTGATAGAGGAGATAACTAATCCACATGACTGGGAGGGGAGAAGACCAGTTTACTCCAACATAGGCTATGCAAACAGCCTGGCAGTGTACGTTGTTTTGACCATTGGGCTAGCATCATTGGCAACATTGCCAGAGCACTTTCTAAGACATTTCTTGTATGGAGACATTAAGAATAAAAGACAGTATGGTCTTCAGCACTGAAGTCACAGTTTATTGAAGCTGGAAGGTGATGACTGAGTATAGTATGTGGAAATCGGCAGCGTATAATTAGCGTGGTAACAATGACTAGCATTGGAAACCAATTGCCTGATGGTTTACGTTTAGTTGACTGTGACTGTTCTCAGCAAATCAAAAAAAAAAAAGAGTTGAAAACAGATTATTTCATTAGTAAATAAAAAACTTCAATAGGCACTTTTGCAAATTCTTGAATAGCCAGAAAACCAAACTTAAATAAAATATTACTCATGGGCAATATAGTGTTCCTAAACTGTATAAGAGAAAGTAATCTACACAGTGATCCTTTTTTGTTTGTTTGTTTGTTTTTGCTGAGAGTGACGTCTTTGCTTTATAGATGGGATCCTGTATTAAAGTGGTTTTAATGAAGTGATTTTAGGGAAGAATAAGATGCAGTATCTAAAGATTCCTTTTGTTGTCTGTGTTTTCACCCTCTTCAATATTCCACCTGAGCTTAATTCCAAAGGCAAGTTAAAGCATTTGCATTAATTTGATTGGAAGAATGTGGAACTTGGGTTTGTTTATTTCATTTTGAACACTGGTCACTGGTACCAAATTTTCGTCCATTTATAGGAACGATTCTCTAAGTTAGGCACCGTCTCTTCCTATAACCTTGACCCCTAGATAAAACTTCCTGGGCAAACTCAGAATATCTATATTGATAAGGCTAATATTTTGAAAGTGAAATTATTTGCAGAAAATCTTGCTGGGTAGGAAGATGTGTGTACATTTGTTTGTTCTCCAAAATGTTGTTCAGGAAAAACAGCAAAACCCTCAACACAGCTGAACTGAAGAAAGCTTCCTAGCCCCTTCTCTGAGGTGAGGCCCTGCCTACCCCAGATGGTTCACATAATCTGGAACACTGCTGTGACAGAATGTGGATAATGTTGTCCTGGCCAGGTTTCTTACAGAATAGTGACAAGTCCCACCTATGTGCAGTGGCTGTGTGGAGCACTGGACTGAAAGGAAGATGACTCAGGGTGGGTCCGAAGGAAGAATGTGGGGTTGATTAGCAATGTCTATTTGGAATAGAAAGAGAATCTCCCTGCAGCCCAAGCCTTGGTAAAAGATGATCCCGGTGGAAACATAGGTCTCGATGTTAAGACTAATAAAAAGAAAAAGGAAGGGAAGAGGGAGAGGGAAGGAGGGAGGGAGAAAGAATTGTATTGTGTGCTTTGGGTAAGGTCTCATACAGAGTTTGACTATGGCTACATGATGGCAACATAATTGAAGGAAAGTGAAAGAGAATGACAAGGAATTTTAATTTTTATTGTGATGCAATTTTCAGTTTGACTTTTCACTAAGATCACCAGTTCCTGTTTTGTTTTTTGTTTTTTTTAATGTCAAAAATAGATGATAAATGGTAGACTGTTTATCTGAAGATGAAGCTCCTATTTACCATGATAGATACTTCAATGAAATATCCTCTAAGAAAATACCAAAGTCTTCTAAATTTATAGTCATTTAGGCACCCAAGCAAGAGAAAAATTAGGGAAAGGAGAGGAAGGAGGTCACAAATAACACATATCTCGATTAAAATGTAGTGTAATAGACACTTTGTTTCATCAAAATTATACTCAATATTTAGAAACAACTTTACTGTTCTAAAGATGCCTTCCAAAAGTTTAAAAAAGATTAAACACACAATAGTTTAGACCCACTCAGATACCATGTTAATTGCTTGAGAAAAATGACCAAAAATTTTTATGGGCAAAAATAGTGAACTGTTATTGTCTGTTTTTTGGCTGAGTCTTTTTAAAATTTTAAACGACGACTAGAGAAACGAGGGTGTGACTACACTGTTTTCTGGAGCCACAGATGATTCCACATTGTATCTTCTGTTTCATTTTAGCTCTATCAGGTGATCCTGATGTCACCACTGCTCAGAATCTATCGAGGCTCATGCGCATCATAACCAAACGTCCCCACTTTATCGATGTCACTCCCCTCAAACGTCTCTCTGTCCATGTCTGAGTATCTCTCAGATCTTTGGGACTTACACCTGTGCCCCCTGCCCTCACCCCCAAGCCCCACCTCTCGGGCATTTGGCCCGATTTAATCACACCAGTTTTTCTGCTCCTTCAGCTTGCAGATGGCAGATCATATTAAGGCCGCTCCTTTATCATGTGGTTCTTGGCCTTGAGTGGATACTGGGATCACCTGGGGAGAGTTCTGAACTAATACTGGTGCCTGGTTTCCACTCCCAGAGGCTCAGATTCGATGTGTCCGGTTGAGACCCGGATATCAGAATTTTCCGAAGAGCTCCCAGGCAGTTCAGTGTGCCCTTGGCCTTGTCGGCAACAGCTCTGCAATGTAAGTGGTTATGCCTTTTCCTCTGTTATATCATATCTGAAAAGAAACCACTTCCTTTTGAAAATAATAACAATACATTGTTTTTCCTCCTTGGTTTTGCTAGATGTTGAAATAGGACATCAAATGTTAAGCAAATTTTCTGCATGTGGAAATCCAATATGTCTAATTTGGCCAGAAATGATGACTATTAAAATTGTCATGAGAAAGCTACTTCTTGTTCATTTCCAGACAGAACATCATAAATAAACTCAGACTATCTTTATATTTGACCCATGTTAGGCCAAAATTATTTATAATCTGGTTTTCAACTCAGCTCATATATTACTTAATGTAAACTCTTAGCAAATCCAATCAGCTTCATAATTTAAAAAAGTACTTTGCATGGTTTAACATAGAAGAGGTCAGCAGAAATTAACATGTGATAATTTTCCATGCTCTCATACAACTAGAATGACTCTTAGTACAGTTGAATGCAATTTTCCAACAGACATTAAAAATACAAGCCACATAAAAACCATACTCCTGATTCTAAAAACTTTCTTTCTCTTTTTTATTTTATACTTGGGAAACAAAATAAAAAGATGTATGCTTACTGCTTCAGTTTTTGATTTTCATCTGATTTTGGATCAGTACATGTATGTGTACATACATGTGAGTAAGCAGGAATTTGACAGACGACTATAAATGATGTTAGTACAAAGCCAGTTAGGCACATTTTTTCCACCCCCTTCTTTTTGTTGTTGTCAGTCTTCAGTGTCATTGCCCCAAGTCCCAAAATACGAAAGGGACTCCGCCAGGGTAGACAATCTACCTCCGCGTGGGCGGGTATTCTGCTGCCCGCCCTCCCCCGGGGCAGGAGGCAGGGCCTTGCTCGCAGAAAGCAGCAACGAAATCCGGATTTGCTGAGAAGGGAATTCCAAAATACACATAGCACCACGCAAACCCTTTACTAGAAGGTCTAATCCTTTACTGCAGCGATTTTCAACCTTTGTCATTTCATGGCACACATCATCGAATTACTAAAATTCTGCAGCAACCAAAAAATGTATTTTTTTTTTTGCCAATCTGACAAAAAAAAAAAAGTATAATCTTGATTCATTCACACCTCTTGACAACACACCAGTCGAAAATCGCTGCTTTACTGCAAACATTTCACCAGACTCTCAGGGATCTAATCTTTGGAGATATCTTCTGCCTTCACTACTATTCTTCCTTACCCCTCTCCCAAAATATTGCCTCAAGTTGTAAGACAGTAACAGATGGTCTGAAGGGAAACAGTGTTTACAAGTTTGAAGATCTTACAAAGTGGGATATGTGAGCAGGACTATTTAAAACTGAGAGTCAGCTGGGGCCCACAGGAGGTGCCTGTTTCCCAGCCTCTGAAAGGATTGTGGGGAGTGGGTGAGATATGTGTGAAGCACTCGCCCGAGCCTAGCAGAGAAAGCAAGCAAATGTTAGTGGATGTGAACATTATTATTATTTTAAGGATTAATCTAAATATATGATTAAGCTGTACATATATCATGGAATATATCCTGCTCCATAAGATATTTGTGGCACAATGCTGTCATCAGGCCTTCTACACATTAACTCATTTAATTCTCATGGTAGCAGCAGCAGACCTCTTTTACATACAACAGGGTAGTGAGAAAATCAAGTCTTAAAGAAATAAAGTAACTTGCTCAACTCTGAGGGTGTGGTAAATGGTAAAGATTAGAATAAAAAAAACTTGTCAGAAATAGATCTGTTACTTCCCACTACCCTGTTGTATATAAAAGAGAAGTCCACAAGTATTTTAGATGTACAAATTAACTGAAAACAATGTCACTTTCTCATTTTTTTCATCAGAAGACATGTAAAATATCACAAATCTGCCCACAGAGTATACACTCAATTCCATAGTGTTCACAGAAAATGCCATTTACGTGGTCCCTCTCTTTGCCCCGCCCTTTTCCTCAATTTACATCGTTCTCCATGTCTTGGTGTTTCCACTGACGAAAGACCAAAAGGGAAAGTCAGACTCAAAGTTCTTCTCTCTGTAACTTGTTGACAGCTTGAGTGAAACACTCTGTGGGTCGGGACGCCTGGGACTTTTTGTTGTAATAACATGTTTGTTTATCTGCTGTGCCCTGTGCTGTGACTTCCCCATCACTTGACATTTGATTGGGGCACTCAGTCTGGCTCTCTT